CAATTTTGCCGCACGTCACCAAAACTTGCACAATTTTATCTGCTCGCTGAGTACTGCATTTTTCAGCATTATCGCTCATCATATCAACCTGTTTCTTCATTTCTTTCACTTCATTTCTTTGATTAAAGTATTACATATTGTATTACGTACTGCTATTACAGTGTTATATACTGCTTTTAATCGGCACGTGAGGGGTTTGGCGTTTGCCGTCCCTAGCATTGAGGATGAACTTCGGCTTCCCAGGTTTCATGTATTGGGTAAATCTCAGCCTACGTCTCATCATCTGTACGGGAGGCGAATCATGCTTGGTTCAAGTATCTAAGAGTTTTGACAAAGTTAGGAGCGCTAAGTCAACGAGTTGCTGGACGCATACAGGACAGTCACAGCTACTAAAGCGATCAAGCACATTTGACGGGAGTGGTATTTTTCCAAAAATTTCAGATTTCAGAAACTTCAGATTCAGAAATTTCAGAAGCAAATCAGTTCTACATCTCCCATGGACCATCGCACCTTAAGAATAAGGAACATCGAAGACCATTTTTCATGAAAGATGCTATCCTGTCCATTCTGGACCTCAAGAGCTTCCATTTGCGGTATAGTTGTCGTGATTGCTAATATTCAATAATACTGCTCGAAATGAATCTCCTTCATGTTAGCTAAGTTGTCCCGCTTGGTGCTCGTTTAGTGCCGCAGGGGCCGAGTTTTTTTTACAAAAATATTCCACCACTTTGAGACGTATACCACTTTTGTGGACAGCTGTCAAAGAACTTCACCCTTATAGGGCACTGACTGCGTAACCACTCCGTGTAGGCCTGAAGTAATGATCTATGGAGCTTTCTGATTAAAGCGCAGATGGAACAACTCTTAATTGTTTGGGATCTCACGAAGAATAATGAACAATTGCTTGAAAATGAAGAAAATACTTGTCCAAGTGTTGTGATTTCACACGTATGCACTGCTACTGCATTTCAGGTAGGATGACTATCGCCTTTCACCTTTCCAAGACCACAAAATTTGCTTTTCATTTTAAGAGAGCAAATCGTGCTCAATTACTGCCAAAAATCGTCAGCGGATTTTAATAAGAAATCGCGAGAGGTCATAAATTTCGAGTTTGGCTCTTCTCAACACCTTGACAGTGCTGCTCCTCATTTCACCTTCAAGACAACGGTAATAATGATGACGGGTCTCCCCCACGCATTGTCTTTACTATAGTAGAATTAATGCTGCTTCAAACCCTTGAAAGTTAATATCATATGTGGTCAGTGAGCGCCCATTTATTGCTATATCTTCTTGTTTCACAAATACGTCATCGGTTCGAGGGTGTAAAAGCAGTATGCTTCAAGTGCTCGGAGGTTCAGAATCATTTCCATTTGAGAATGGGTGCATTGACATGATGAAAAATTCCAATCCTTTTAACTCTTGGTGAAGGAAGCAGTCCGGAACTTCATAATCTTGTATTTGATCTTTGGTAACTATCTTTGGGTCAGGAAAGGCCGGTAGTTCAGGTCTGTACTGGACTTTGTCATCCAATTACTTTCTATGTTCCTAATGAGTGGGATGGAGTGCAGAACAAATTTGCAAGCCTTCAGCATACTTTGTATAAAAATGCGAACAAGTTCACGCACACGAGATGCGAACCCTCATGAAATGTCTGTCAATCCGCTGCTTTATCTGCTGCGCCATCGCTTCACTTTAAGCTTAACAACTCGACCTCGATACATGCTCGACAAAACTCGATATCTTACGGGAAGAAATGCTCTCGTATCTTCGTTTCCAGAATCGTTTCGCAGGTTTGAAATGTGGATTTGATATACGCGTCTAAAAACACATGTAAGACGATACAAATGTGTTAGTGAAAGACGTCCAAAATCATTTCAAGTGAACCGACAGCACGACAATGCTCGTCAATATTTTGCTTCGAAGATCCGTCGAAGAATCACTGGGTCGAACTGGTTACAGATTGCTCGTCCACAATACTTCACAGACGTGGAACTTTTTGGCTACCAACTGCTATGGCTATTCAAGTATCACATAGATGGAAGAGGGTTCGTAATTTGCGATGGTCTAAACATGGCTTTTCATGGAGGAACTTTCTTGCGAACCCAATGTTTATCTTGTATGTTACGCATATATTATGTAATATTTAATATTTAACACATAATATATAACATATAATATACATAATCCACTTGTTATATATTATACATCGTATTTATATATCGTATATTATATATTACCTGTCAAATATCATGTATTATATATTCAAAATTATATATTATATATGAGATACTGAGATATATATTACATAGTTAATATTATAATTCATGTACTAAATAAATATATACAATATATAAATTTTATACATACTATATTATATGTGGTGCGCCATAATCATGATAACAAAATGATTGCCGTGAAAACCCGCAATTCATATGGATACTATGATACTGCTGTGAATTAATGTGTAATACTTACTGAGCATCGCATCAACAAAATGAAGGCACGGTCATCTGATATAACTTCTCGTATTTTGATCATAGCTCAAAGATGCTTTGGCTACTCATCGACAGCGGCACGTAGTTTCTTAAGAAACTTCAGTCCGAGCTTTTTTCCACGATCGCTTAGAAGCAGCAACTAAGCGTAGTTTTGAGACGCAGATTTCTCTTTCCATCATGAGCTATACCCAACGATCCATTCGATTGCGGTACTAGTACTGATTTTTTTTTAATTCGTCAGTGAGTGCGCCGTAGTTTCCAAATCTCATTATTGAAATCATTTTCTCACCCCTAGCAGCACCTTTTCAAAAATTGCCTTTACATATAGAGATGTTCTGATCGATCTTAATACCTTCTCAACGAAGTAAGCGATATCGCTCTGATGACACTCATTTCAGCCCAAACCATCATGGAAGAGGGAAAATGGATACGAAAAATCTGATCCTTCTCATCCGCTTCAGCACTCGTAGTAGGAAACATCGTATACTCTGTGATCTAAACATTACTTTCACGATAGACACCTTTTTGTCAGAAGGTGTGTCGACGCGCGAGCCGAGTGCAAGTATGGCATCTATGCATCCCCACGTACTTCTCTAAATTGAATTTATGTTCTACTCCGGTGAGAAAAGTTCTTTTCCTGCGTTTCTATCCAGATAAGTTCCGTAGCCTCATAAGCTTTTCGAACCTATCTGGATAGAATTGTATTTACGCGGAAAAGCCTTTTCTTACCGGAGTAGAACATAAATCCAATTCAGCAGTCATTTTTCTCGTATTTCTGCAGGTTCCGTAGCGTTATCATTCTCCCGTAGTTGTATTCGGGGAATGTATAGTAACTGAGGCCCATGCAACGCGCGAAATGTCGAAACGACGAGCGAACCCGGATACGGCTCACCAAGTGCGCTAAAAACGGAACGGCTGCTGGATAAATGCGAGACTACACCATGTTCCGGAAGCTGACAAATTCAAAGCACCAAAGCAGATATATGAGCTAAGGATTATCATAACTATGAACGAAGGTGCAGATTTGGAAAACTGTCTATTCAAGGAAATTGCGAGCTACCATAAAGTTGTTACCATAGTTATGGCGCACCCTTTTAAATTATATATCGTTCTATTGTACAGTTTTATTGAATTTATTTCCGGTTACCTGTTGTTCCGTTGATCATCGATTTCCTCGAACGGGCGCCGGCAATGCCACAATTCGCCCTTGTCGCGAGTAGAGTTGTCAGTGAGTCGTCCTGCCTCAGAGGCACAGATCTCAGCATGCCTTCTGTTCAGCTTCCTGAGTATGCCTGACCGTCGCGTCGGCGGCCGTCCTGGTGTTCGTTGAGGTCCCGAGGGATCCAGTCGGTGACCGCTCTGGTCCAAAGGTCATCACTATAACATAACCTTTCCAGCCCACCTGATTTTCGAGTTCTTGGCGTATTCAGCAGCATCCCTGAGCTTCGTTCGATGGCGAAGCTCAGAACTCCGGATTCCTCTCCGCACTTGTGTATAAGGGGAAATCCCGAGCATCGTCCTTTCCAAAATACGTTGAGTAACGCTGACAGCATGTTCATCCTGCTTTCGTAGAGTCCAGGTCTCCGAGGCGTACGTCAAAGCAGGAAGGACACCAGTTTCGAAAAGGTGAGCGCTGAGACGGATGTTCTTTTTCTTCTTCACTACTTTCTCGATATACTTGGATGCTCCTCACGCGCCAATTTCCTTTTCCTCAGCTCTGGAGCTAGATCGTTCATCATGTTAACTTCTCTACCGAAGTACACATAGCTAGAGCATTCAGATTCAGACTCAGCGTGAAAGGAGCATCATGCACCAATCCATTTCTCATGAACATCGTCGAGCACTGACAAACTCGGCTAGCATTCGTTCCGCCTGCTCGATGTTCGACCCTATAAGCACCATGCCGTCTGCAAAGCGTAAGTGGTATAAATAGCGGCCTTCACTCTCAAGTCTTCCCATTCCAAATGACGCATGATGTTTTCGAGAGCGGGTCTGAAAAAAAGTGGGGAGGGGGGGGGGTAAACGTTATCGCTCTGTCCTACCCTCTCTTCACGCTGATAGTGCCTTGCCTGTAGAATAACGAAATAATGGTTGTGGAGCTGTCGTAGAGCTCACAAAGCATCCTCCATTGATTAAGAACACCTCGATTACCCAGGGCTTCAATTAGCGCTTCTGTCTCTACAGTACTGAAGGGCTTTTTAAATCTATGAACGTAAAACAACCGCATTTTGTACTCTCGCGATACTTCAGTGAGTCTTTTCAGAGTGTGGATGTGATCGATTGTAGTGGACCCTTTTCAAAACACTGCTTGCTCGCATAGCTGCCCTTCATTTAATATTCTGCCAATTCTGTTCATTGTGACGCTTGTGAAAAGCTCGCAGATTATAGACGGCAAGCGGCTTGGGCGACTTCCCTCAATATCGTCGGGATATCCCTTTTTGTACAACAACCCAGTCTTGCTAGTTTTCCACGACGTGAGCACTTTGTATTCCGACGGGTACCGCGTTAAGAGCTCGGCCGAATTTCTGACTTTAAGTGATGGCAGATTCTTTGAATGTATGGTTTGATCCTGTCGGGACAGGGCGCCGTACAATTCTTTGCGACGTTATGACTTGTCGGATTTCGGAAGGGGGAACCGGAGGAACGATATATTTGTATTGCCCAAGATGGTGGGTAGGCAGGTAGACGTGGTTGTCGAAGAGGTCCGAGTAGAAGTCGTAGATGACTTTCTCCATTGCCCTTCATTATCAGTAATTATTAGGTTGATGCATAATTATTGCGGATTTTTTTTCAGCAAATTTTACTTGAAGAAACGATAGAAATATCTAGCAAAGACATGTTCAAATAATTGCTCCGGAACATATCCACCATCTACGTCAAGCACTGCTTCTCATTTGCTGGGTACTCGGATTACACAGGCGGAGAAGTTCCGATTTTTGGAGGCGATCCACGCCTTGACGTCGGCCATCAAGCCATTTATTTCGTCAAATGTTCGGTTCGTTAGCCAATTTTTCAACGGGCAATTGATAATATAATAATCTATAGGAGTTTCTGTTGGTGAATAAGACGACCGTAGAAGCAAATTCCATTCTTTATTCAGCTTTGTCTGGCTGTTCCATTGCCGAGAAGTTCGTTGAGATCACGCTATGAGTGTGCCTCCTTCCAACATTTCTCGAAGTAATAGAGCATAATGTGGCGTATATGAAAATGTCTTTCTAGACATATTTCTGTTTAGGGAAGCGAGAAGATTATTAATCTAGAACTCAAAAATTTAATCTTATCGAGAAAAAGGAGCTGCGAAAAAATCTGCAATAATAATGCATCAACCTAATATTTCATCAAGGCGGTAAGCAAGGAAAAATTACCTCGTTCTTGGTCATTGGCGAAGCTCTGGCGGGCTTTGCGAATGTTATGCTATGCTGTGATATGGAATGCGCCGACTTCGTCTTTCGTCGGCTTGGAAGCTCTTATTCTCTTCTTCATATCTTCTTTTACCGCTTCTCTGCATAGCCTCGCGCGTTTGCTTGGTTGCCTGCAGCTCGCACTATTACACGCTGGTGTATCAGCTCGAGAGTCTTCGGAGGAAGTCGTCTCTGGGCTATTTATAGACTCTACCAGGCGGCTACGCACGCTGTTGCGTGCTCTAGGGGCTCTAGCCATGAGGGGTGGAGCCACATGAGCTCCTCATTTTTATTATAGACCTTTATCATTCAGGAGCTCTTCCCTGACTCTTCTGTAGCGGCCACCAATTTTTTTGGGATGTGGAATGGGGCTGTGTGAAGCCATGAAGAGTGCTCTGATGTATCCAAATCATATACCTGTGCAACACATGTAGTCGAAGAAACTCTGTGTAATTTGGGCTGTGTGTGGCCATGAACATTGGTTTCGAAAGGACCGTCTCTTTGGGTAGTTGTAGGAATTTACACATCTGTACAGGGTATGCACCCATGTGTCCGGGGTTATTGTAGAATCTATTTCATGAGATTCGAAGTCAATGTAGTGGATTTGCTCTTGTGTAGAAGGGACTACTGTGTGCGAAACCATGGATACTAACCTTTGAAAAATTTTAGCCTAATTTTTGAAAAAGTTCAGTTGTATCCCCTAGTTGTACACATATGTGGTCAGGGTTAGTGTGAAGGACGAATGCATAAATTTCTGATCTCAGCCCCACCCTCCTTTTTGCAAACCCCGCCCACTTCACACTTCAAACCACACTACTTTTCTTACCTCTAGACACCTTTTCCAGCGTTCTAAACGCGTCCGAGAGACTTAATAGTTTTCATGTAAGCCCACTTTAGTGCCAATTTTGCCCACTTGTGGGATCTGACCACATTTGCTCTACTACATCTTACCACTTTTTTCCCGCATCCCACAACGTTTCTAAACAAAGTTATAAATTTTGATCGAAGCTCCGCCCATTTTAGTACCAACCCCGCCCACTTTTGGGTTTGACTACATTTGTTCTTTTACCCCTTGAGACCTTTTTGCCGCATTCCAGAACGTTTCTGAATGGAGTTATAAATTTTTGATCTAAGCTCCGCTCACTCTAGTACTAACCCCGCCCACTTTATTTGACTACATTTGTTCTTTTACACCTTGAGACCTTTTTGCCGCATCCCACAACGATTCTAAACAAAGTTATAAATTTTGATCGAAGCTCCGCCCACTTTAGTACCAACCCCGCCCACTTTTGGGATTTGACTACATTTGTTCTTTTACCCCTTGAGACCTTTTTGCCGCATCCCAGAACGTTTCTAAACAGAGCTATAAAATTTTGATCTAAGCTCCGCCCACTTTAGCGCCAACTCCGCCCACTTCTGGGATTAGACCACACTTGTTCCATTACCTTCAACCACTTTTTTGCCGCATTCTAGAACGTTTCCAAGCGAAGTTGCGTTTGTTTTTGAAAAGTGGCTTTCGGCTCAACGCACGTCCCGCCCATCGTGGGCACGGCTTCGCTAAGCTTACGCATGCCCAACACGCATAAGGCCCTGCTCGCTCTTGTTATTTTTTTCCTCGCCTCTGCGCCTTAATTGAATCGAGTTATGGATACATCTGAAAAGTACCGCCCATTTTGAGAAAGCTCTGCCCACAGCACGGTGGTCTCCTCCATCTGGTTTGTTGACCCAATCCCTAACTTTGAACATTTTTTCCCGGTGTCTGGACTTTTTCGGAGCCATAATAAGATGTAGTATCCATGTGCGACTGTCGATGAATCTCGGCATTCTTCCTTTAGTTTTAAAGTTAGTTTTTAAGCTGTAGAACCGAGATATTAACAAGCTTTATTAGGCTGACGTTTCGGTGCTTTCACCTTCCTCGGAGCCTGGAAAGACAAAAGGCATTTGAAAAACCATCCTGTCAAGTACTATTTCAATCTACAAAGTAAGTTCAAAGGGCGTGGGCTACTAGGAAGTCGAAAGTTGGTAACTAACCTTTGGGACAGTCGACCTTTGGGGGTCCACCGATCACCCTAAGCTGGTGTGGCTGCGGTTTAAATAGGGGTGAGCCTCGGGTCAACTTGCTTCAGGGGCCTCCAAGAGGCTGATCACCTAGATCAAACTCCCTCAAAAAGCCACACAAGGCTGAGCGCGCCGCTGACCCCTTCCCAATCAACTCCTATCGATTACTGTATAAGCCCCCGACCCCGCCCCGCCGAGAGGACCCCGCGGGGGATCGACAGCGTAGGTCAAAACCCACATAGTGCTGCAAAGGGCGCCAGCTCTGTGGTAACCGCCACGCACTCCTCCCTCCGGTTAATTTTAGGGGCCTTAGCCATGATCCAAAAGGCCTCTAAGGTTNTGACCGCCACCTCGAACCTCATGTTCCCATGACATCGTACCCTATGTTCTCCTAAAGGAGTCGCTGTTCTCGACTTTTGCATGCCATCCAGGTGCTCCTTTAATCTGATGCAAAGAGGTCTGCCTGTTTCCCCAATATATTCCTCTTTACACTGAAGACACGATATTAAGTATACAACACCGGATGTCATGCAGTCTCCTTCCTTACCGTATGGGCATATGACACACGAAGGCGTTGTGCACAGGCGGTCATACAGGCGATTTCGGACCAATCGTTGTTTGAGATTCGAGGGTGGGATATCCACGACTCTCCCCATGTCCTGAAGACCTGCCTTTTTCACACATGATCGTATAGCCGCACTCAAATCGTCTGATATGAACGGGACACAAAATGGAACTTTTGTTTCCTCTCCCTCGTGACGATTGAGAGCGACCGCCCTTCGCCTGTGTCGAAATGGGAATCCTGAGGTTTCGTAGCCGTTTGCCTGTGCTATGCGGAGTGCGTGTTGTATCGACTCTGTTTTCTCCTCGCCTCCTGAGGAAACTCGAGAGGCGGTGTGCAACATATTCCTTATGATGGCCTTCTTAGTGTTGAATGGATGGGCGGAACGAAAGTGGACTAGTATGTTTTTGCTGGTAGGCTTACGATACCATTTGGTTCTGAAAGTACCCGCAGTTACCCGAACCTGGACATTGAGGAACGCGAGCCAATCGTCTGTCGGCTTATCCCGTATAAGCTTTATGTGTTCCGAATGCGAACCTCATGGGTACATGCTATCCCTATACAACCATTAATAAAACACGCAATCTATTCGAGACCAAAAATACACGGTTCCTCCAACCATTTTTCGGGTTGTTCCATGGATGTTGAGTTTTCTCGCGTGTCCAAGACTATTTTACTTTGGGTGTGGGTATAGATGTTTCTGTGTTAAAGATATAAGAGCGTTACAAAAAAGAGTGGAGAAATTTTAAATAAGTGCGGGGATAGGTGATCGCAAATGATAGCCGAAAGAAAGCGCTCACTTGAATTAGTAAGGACAAACGGTTTAGGAGGCTTCGTTCGGATAAAAGCACGTTTTGCAAAAGTGAAAACGACAGCGGGGAGCAAACCCTTCCTGCTCACCTGGAGAGCAAAGCACTGCCACACGCCACGGGGACCCGCGTGGCTATTGCGGGCAACTGCGCTTATCAACTGGCACTATCCCTCCATGCTTTGAAGGCACCGTTCACGACAATTTTTGGTAATCCAGATTATGATGAAAATGGAAGACAAGATCGAAACTAGTGCGACTGAGGTGAAGAAACTGCGTACATCGGTGTTTGCAATGTGAAAAGAGGCTTCGAAAAAAACGTTAAAAAGGGGGCTAGACGAGAATGAAACCAGAAAAATGAAGAAGAGTGGGGTGTCCGGACGAGCTAAACAGTGTGTTTCACTGCGCGCGTGTGGGTCCTGGTGCGAATAACAGACAATGGTAAGAAAAAAATTCATTCACTTATAAGCATAAATAAACTTAAAATTTCTAGTGACAGCAGAAGTAGCTCACTTTTCCAGCCTCTAGGAGTAGGAAATTAAATAAGGGATCGCGGCAGCAAGAAGAAAACGAGGAAAAAATAATGGGAGAAAAACGTCGCCTCACCACTCGGCGATTAGCTGATTGTGCGTGGGTCCTAGAACGAATAATAGCAATCTGTATTGTCTCGACACTCGTCTAACGTGACACCGATCAAGGGGTGGGAACGCGAACTACGGCAAGAACGGAGCTTCCACATACCCTAAACGCCGATATTGTGGGAGCGAGAGGGTCCCTTCTACCACCCATGGGGGCCGCTGAGCATTAATAAGGTAAGGACTCAATAACTTTTTTATCGTGAACGGTGCCTTTAACATGCAAATTTCATTTGCTCACAACTTTTTTGGTAGTAACTTTCCAAGCCCTATCGATATTT